GTGCCTGTGGAAGAACGACCATCTTCAGGTGGTCATATCTATCTTTCAAATTATTCCACAGTATGACTGAATATTTAACAGTAAGATATTCCATTTTCAGGCCCTCATCAAGGTGATGGCGTAGGAATATCATTGCTTTGGCACGGTCTTGGTTTGATGCCTGATTTTTATCCTTGATGGTGTCTGCCAGACCCATCGCATCAAGATGAATTTCAGCATCAAGCACCCAAGACATGTAGCTTTTGCCCGATATATCCAGGGCTACAAATTCAAGTTTAGAAAGATTTGACATTATTTAGGAAAAGAAAGTTCTTACCTCTAATACTTTCAAAGTATTTGCTCGAGATGGCAGAGTCTCGTGTTGATAACGTGTTATAAAATAAAGACTGTAAAGTAAAGACAAGTATAGAGAGAAACTGATATATTATTTGAATTCAAACTGATGTACATAATGAACTGAAATCTCTTCTGTTTATAGAAGAAAGGAAGCTGTTGTGTAAGCTGCTACGCAAGCTGCTGTGTAAGTTGCTACTATAAGCTGCTGTGTAAGCTGCTATGTAAGTTGCTACTGCAAGTTGCTGTGTAAGCTGCTACTGCAAGCTGCTGTGTAAGCTGTTAGTATACCAGATATGGATAATCTTCTACTGAGAGCAATGTTTATCCATAACGGAGTACTGAATGGATAAACTTATTATACCTGGTATGGATAATCTTCTACCTAGGGTAATATTTATCCATAACTGGGTACCGAAGTGATAAGCTTTCTTCAGGAAGCTTATTTCCAATAGAGTACTAAATGGATAAACATATTTACGGTGGAGTCCCATATGGATAAGCTTCTTCAAGAAGATTATTTACAACGGAGTACTAAATGAACATCCATAATATAATAGATTTATAACACTATATTTATTTTATAAAAACTTTAATTCAGCAATTGATTAAAACCTTTAGTTAGTATATTTAACTTTAATAATATCATTTAACTATATGTTAAATAATGTGATGGAGCCATTGAGGGATGGAATAACATTTGCTCAAAAAGGGGGCCACGTACCACGACCCACCTATCTTCGGATACTTCATTCTTGGTCCGACTCGATTCGCCGGTGATTTATCTCAAACCCTAATCCACTCACTCCCTTTGTGTTCTCTCTTACAAGAGTTGATGCCGTAAACTGCAATTCCTCAGTTTGTTCCAATCTACATATGTCGGTAAATTTCTTCTCTGAAAACTTTTCTATTTCAGTTACCCTACGTAGTTGATATTATTATGTACTTTGTTTTTGTTCGAGCATTGCCATTAGTTTATTTGTGCTTTTGCTTGTTTTGGTGTATAGAGTTGAATTATTTTTTGTTTCCTTGCTGAATTTGCTCATACAAGTTAGTTTGAGCATTGTCATTAGTTCATTAGGGCTTGTGTATGTTTTGTTGAATTACTTTAGTACAATTTCTTTTGTGTTTCCGAACTCGGGGATGCTTTTTTGTACCAGGCTGCCTGGGAATGTGTTACATGCTATTTAATAAAACAAGTAAGCCCTGACTCCAAGGTAGTTGGGGTTGGTTCCATGAATCTTCGGTATCCATTCAGTTCAATTTGTGCCCTTTCATTACGGTAATATTTGCTAGGTGATTTCTTCATATCTGCTGGTTGGCATAGTTACCTGCTATATGTGCTGGTAGGATGTAGCAGGTAGCCGGTGAAATAGTCTGAGGTGTGCGCAAGCTTGCATAGACACCACTGTCATAAAAGAATTTTTCTTTTCCATGAAATCTAGCTTATAAATTTTACATGGTTCTTTTGCAGACTGGCAGAGGAGGGAGAGATAGATATCGCAGGGATCATCCTCCAAGATCTGAAGAGAAGAGTCATCATGGTCGCGAAAACCCCCCTTCCAGACATCTTTGGGTTGGAAATCTATCTCATAGTCTTTCGGAAAGTACATTGGCCGATCATTTCTTACGTTTCGGAGACCTGGAAAGTGTGGCATTTCAACCAGGTCGAAGCTATGCTTTCATTAATTTTAGAGACGAGGAAGGGGCTTTTGCTGCTATAAGACATCTCCAAGGTTATGCTGTTGCTGGCAATCCACTTAGGATTGAGTTTACAAAGGCGGTTAGTCTTGTCAACCTTTGCCTAATTTTCCTTGTGACGTTGTTGTCTGCGCATAGAAAATTCTCGGCAGAGCACTTGATACTGCTATACTTTTCCGTGCCTAATTTTCCTTGTGACGTTGTTGTCTGCGCATAGAAAATTCTCGGCAGAGCACTTGATACTGCTATACTTTTCCGTAGAAAGTTTCTATGAGATGCATTTTCTTACTCATAAACGTTTGTTGTTAATATTAATGCAACCGTCCAAGTTTGATCTGGATCTTGATCTTCCATTTGCCATTCTATCTGCTTTCATTCAATAATCAGGATACTGGACTCATGGCAGCATTATATGTACATTATTGTTGTGGAAGCCGGAAGGTCATGAGAATTTATTTCAGAGGCTAGGAAGTAGGGCGCACTTAGTGCTTCTGTAACTCGATTTGTAGGCATGGACTGAACTGTAGACTAGACTAATATAAGCAGAAACAATCCGAACATTAAAAGTAGATGTATAAATATTGGTTTAATTGTCTAGAATCTTATGGAAGACTTAAACTCCAAACTAAGGCAAGTGGTGAAACCCCAGCAGTTAATCATTGGACCAAGGAAAATAGTAGAAGTTCAGCAGTCTAAACACAAATATTTGCAAATGTTGTTTCAGCAACCTCCAAAAGTGAGCAATATTTCAAATGAGCGGCAATCTGGTATAATTTGTACAATAACTCCTGCATGATATCCTTCTATAAAAGATCAAAAATGACCTATGAACGGGACTTGTGGTGTGTATTTATCTGTGTGTGTGTGTGTGGTGAGTACTGTGTGTCCCTAAGGGGGTCCAATTCCTAAATATGCCAGGCATGGCCCAGTCCATCCGTTGTCAACCATACTCCATCCAGTGTATTTCAGCCTCTTTTGACTAGTTCAGAAGTTTTCACTCTATCCTGAGCAAATGATGAGTAATCAATTAGGATAATTCAAAGCTCTAACACAACTTATACTAAGTGGCTAATACTATAGATCATAACAGGTGGTTGCTCTCCCCCCCCCCCCCAAACCCACACACACACACACACAAAAAAAAGGGATGGAAAAATTGTAACAATTGGTTAAAGTAGTCAAACATTTAATCATCTGAAACCAATGGAGAATTGACCCAAAAAAAGGGAAGGAGAAATGAAATCCAATACCTATATGACATGGAGAATCTAAAGACAATTCCGAAATTTTCAGCAGATTAAATTTCCACAAATCTTTTGCAAACATGCAGAATATGGCAGTGACTTAGCAGGGATTGTCTTGTGGCATTAGCAATTCTGAAATATTAGAATGTCCTTGTATTTTTCTCCCTCAAGGGATCTTGTAGCCTTAATTTGTGAGGGTAGGGAGTGACGAGAAATTTCACAGGATTCAGGAGAGGTTTTACACCTCACTAAGTGCACTCTTTAATCCACAAGTTATGGATCATCTGAGTAAACAATGGCCACAAGGGCCTTCCATTTTGGTCTCCTTTACTCTGTTTCCATGAAAATCAGTTATCAGGAACCGAGCTCCTTGCTCAAGCAATGTCTGTTTTTGATCACTGTAAAATGCCATCAGAGTCATGTGGAGTATCCAACTATGCATTTCTTTTAGCACTTTTGCTCATTAATAACCAGTGAGAGCATAGATGCTGGTGTCAATTCATCGGATGTGTTAAAGGACAGGTGGACTGTCCTTTTAATCAACCTCTGGCTGCTTAGTGCTGCAATTGAGCTGGACCACACAGCTGCTCAGTGGCAGCATTTATCTGTTAAGTCCTAATTTTAGATGACTCCTTTTGTTCTAGGATAGTCCAAGCTGTATTAGGTAGCACCTCACAAATTTCATACTCGTGCAGCAGCAGCACCATATACGCATTTGCGAGTGTTTGAATGCACACGTTTCTTTCTTATTCATATGCATTTAAGAGATGATTTGTCCCCAAGGCAGAGCATAAATCTGGACCTGTTTTTGAGATAGTGACCTTGTTCCATTTTGCAAAAGTATTACTTATTAGTTTGCCATGACAAAGCAAAAAGCTAGCATTTAGTAAATTGTTTCCTTTTATCTTCAGTTGCCTTTAGGAATTGGCAACAGTATTTGCAGCACGTGATATAAGATTAGAGTAAACAATCAAAATTAGATCCTGTTCAAGCAGGAAAACATCTATTGCTATGACCTCTCTGTATGGCATACAGTTGGGATTCAGTTACCATCATGTAGACCTGTTAGTTTTCCAGAGATGAAAATTAACCATCCGCATCTTACTGCTATTTTCATTAAAATTACGTTGGCAACACATCTCCATAATAAAAGGCTATTAATATCAGAATTATCAGAATTTGCATCACGAAAATTTATCAAATTGCATGGTTTCTTAGTTGTGATCTAGTTCAAACTACTATTATCATGGCTTCACAATTAAATAAATTCCTATGAGCTACATCTCTTTTATACTGGAAGTCCTTCACAAGCAACATCTCATGTGCGGTGCCTTCAAAAGCCACAAAGTAGAATTACAACTGCTTTCATCCATAGAGTTTCGGTTATTACCTTTTTGAATCAATGAACCAAATTAAGAGGAAACACAGAGATTAGCTATTCTAGAATTCACTCCAACACAGTAAACCCCAATTCTTAGATCATAATGGTGTCAGTGATTGACACTGCAACAACCCCAGTGATAAGGATTCTCATTCTCAACCATATGTTTGGACTGAATAAGCACCTAACGAAACAAACTGATCAAAAGGCCATCCAGAACTGTGAGTGATGTATCCAAATTAAAGTGTATGACAGGACATTGTACAGAGCCTTCCCCAGTTGAACACTTGAATCTGGTAGTTCATCAACTGATAAGAAAGGTTTCTCAATTTTCTTTCAGGATGTATTCTATCATACATCAAATTCACATACATGACCTGAATGACTGGTGGCCATTGATGTAAAAATAAGCAGCAGTTCTCTTATGTGACCTACTTGAATGCTTTGAAATTGTGACACAATTATCTCTTTCTATGGTGGTCTGTGATCTAACTTAATCTGTATTCAGAAAGTACCGATCTTGAGGCAAACTCCCCCTGCTTCTGGAAACAAAATTATAGGAGAGGTAAGACTGAAGAGTTGGATAATTAGCGATGATATTTTCAGGAAAAGTGAAATTTCTTAATTCAGAAAATTTTACAGCTGCCAAGCATACATAGATGCTAAGATGCAAATAGAAGCCAGTACATGGCTGAAGTATAACTTACTGTCAATATTATAGTCGCAAAACAAAGAGTATCATCACTTGAGCAAAATGCATGACTGCTGCTCACTAAGTTGTTGCTACTTCTGTCAGCTCCTCCGGGGAAGGCAATCCATTTATATCTATTTGCATGTGAGGCGGTTGAATTACTTTGCCTACTGCATGTTTATATTTAATTAAATCCTGATTCCTAAACAAATGAATGTACAGAAAGAATTTCCTTGAACATAACATTAAATGAGTTTGCCTCCCTCATCTTTTTGGTCAGCTCTTGAAATATTTACATGCTTTGTTTGGATGAGATGATTCTACTTCGCTCTTCTAGAGGTTCACTGAATTGGGCGTGCCTATTTTTATATGTCCATCATGAAGTTGGTCTAGGGGTGTGCCTATTTTTATACGTTCATAGTCTTGCGGACTGGACGGTTCTATCCCAAATAAGCGTCACAATCTAGGAACAAGTGGAAGCATGTTACTGCTACCGGCTGGACCCAACTCATAATTGGCGAATTTGTAGGTTCAATTCTACTGGATGCATGCCAATGGGACCTTCCAAAAAGTCTACTGGAATTGGCTCTATATCAGTTGCCTAAATCTCTTCTTTATCTGCTGCTCTATAGCTGCTTCCTCGCTTCGTCTTCGGCTTCCAGAGTTGTGAACTAACTCTTCCTTTTACAGCCAGACAACTGGCAGATAAACTGCGCATCTAAAGGATGTAAGATTGCCGCCAGGCATAAAAGTCAAGTATTGTATTCCACCTATGTATTTATGCTGTCTATTTCTCATGCTGCTGTGTGGCCAACTTTGGAAAATGATACCAGTTGATTTCCATGACATTGGGGTTCTAATACATTGGTGATCCCAAAATAATGCTTATGAATTTGCACCACTTGTTAAAATAAATTATTTATTTATTTAATCAGAAACAGGATTTGCATTCTGTTTTATTGTTTCAAAGGTGCTCAGCTGCCAGATTTGTCTAAGATGAGGTTTTGATACTTCTGTTTTGGGATTAATCACTTGGACCATTGTGTGAGCACTTGAGACTACAAGCCCTCCAGAGCAGAACTTATATCATGAAGGACAAAATCCTAGAGGCTGTATAGGTGTATTGCTTTGTGCCATATTAATTTAAGACAGCTACATGTGAAGATGTTTAATTTGCCTGTACCCATACTGCTGTCACACCCCAACCTAGGTGAGGTGGATGTGCACTTAATGCCTTACGTACGTGAGCTACCCATTCCGTAAAACTAGTATCTTACCACATTTGCAACACCTACAATCACAAAATCCCAAACACACACACACACACACATATATATATATATATCAACACACAGGCCTGCAAGGTCTCAACCAACACAGACATCTGTCTAGTATATGGTAACTGACCACAAGTACACATACGTCTACAAAAGCCTCTAAGAACATCTGACAGACATAACATAGTCAGAACAGGGCCTTGACCTACCCATAAGTCTATGTATAAATTCAAAACATAAGGACCTCTAGGCTCGGCTACACTTCGGATGATATGGATACCGATCATAAAATGGGGTCAAACTGCCTGCCTAAACCTGCAGCATGAAATGCAGCGTTCCCGGTCAAAGGAATGTCAATACGAAATAATGTACCGAGTATGTAAGGCAACTGAATAATCATAAGTACCGCAATCAAATAAAAGAATGTTGAAGGAAGATAATTGGATAAAACATAGTCAGAATAGGGCCTTGACCTACCCATAAGTCTAT